CTAAGCCCATGCGGCAGTCCAGGTACAGGTAATATCCCAATTGGCTGTCCCTCTGTGACCTCACAGGGCTTTGTTTCCATATTAGCTGTCCACTCAGCAGCCACCTGGTCATAAACAGCCCAGAATGCTATGGCAGCAGCATTCTAGAAAAGCCATGGCAATACACAGGCCCCTTTTGGCCTGGTGCAGAAAGCAGGCAGGTGGCTCAAGCTCTGCTTTCTGTGGTCTTCCCCCAAAACTCCTCTGCTACCACAAAATTCCCACAACTCACACGTTCCCACAGGCCCAAGCAGCGAGAATATCCAGCAGCCGTGGAAGCCAGCTGTCCGTGAGTGTATGGGGCTTGGGTGTCTACCGAGTAGGAGTGTGCCAATATGCTGAAAACGTCGTGAAGCCCAGGCCTTTTGCAACACTGTTACTAGGAAAGTGTTTCTCCCGGGTTGTGGTTTCATTGTTATTCTCTTTAGAGTCTCGTAGGCAGAGGATGGCCATAGCCCTGTGCCACAATGGAGAGTCCTTGAGCCACTCTGGGGACCACATTCGTCTAGGTAGAACAGGGACCCACGAGAATGGTTTGACACCGCGTTGGGGCTGTCCCTTGTATGAAGTGGGCACCTGCTCAGCGAGGGCCACCTATGGGGGACAGATACATGCCACAAGCTGTCGTGCCTCTCGGAATCCTGGAGTAGTAAGCACTGCCAAAGGCTGGTTTGTGTGTTGAATGGGCCGTTGTAGCAGTTTGATGGCCATAGGAGTGTAAGCCAGTTGCCACAGGTGTTGTGGAGCTCCAGATGAGAGGAGGTTTGCAGGCATGGGGGTGGACGAGTTGGACCAACCAGCAGGTGGCAGCACAGCAACTTTGGTGGACCTTGAGCTCAGCCTTCACTCTTGCTTCACTCACCTAAGCCCATGCGGCAGTCCAGGCACAGGGAGCATCCCAATTGGCTGTCCCTCTGTGACCTCACAGGGCTCTGTGTCCATACCAGCTGTCCACTCATCAGACACCTGGTCATAAACAGCCCAGAATGCTATGGCAGCAGCATTCTAGAAAAGCCATGGCAATACACAGGCCCCTTTTGGCCTGGTGCAGAAAGCAGGCAGGTGGCTCAAGCTCTGCTTTCTGTAGTCTTCCCCCAATACTCCTCCACTACCACCACTTTCCCCCTCCCCACACGTCCCCACAGGCCCAAGCAGCGAGAATATCCAGCAGCCGTGGAAGCCAGCTGTCCGTGAGTGTATGGGGCTTGGGTGTGTACCGAGTAGGAGTGTGCCAATATGCTGAAAATGTCGTGAAGCCCAGGCCTTTTGCAACACTGTTACTAGGAAAGTGTTTCTCCCGGGTTGTGGTTTCATTGTTATTCTCTTTAGAGTCTCGTAGGCAGAGGATGGCCATAGCCCTGTGCCACAATGGAGAGTCCTTGAGCCACTCTGGGGACCACATTCGTCTAGGTAGAACAGGGACCCACGAGAATGGTTTGACACCGCGTTGGGGCTGTCCCTTGTATGAAGTGGGCACCTGCTCAGCGAGGGCCACCTATGGGGGACAGATACATGCCACAAGCTGTCGTGCCTCTCGGAATCCTGGAGTAGTAAGCACTGCCAAAGGCTGGTTTGTGTGTTGAATGGGCCGTTGTAGCAGTTTGATGGCCATAGGATTGTAAGCCAGTTGCCACAGGTGTTGTGGAGCTCCAGATGAGAGGAGGTTTGCAGGCCTGGGGGTGGACGAGTTGGACCAACCAGCAGGTGGCAGCACTGCAACTTTGGTGGACCTTAAGCTCAGCCTTCACTCTTGCTTCACTCACCTAAGCCCATGCGGCAGTCCAGGCACAGGGAGTGTAAGAGCTTAGAATAACCGCTTGATTTTGCTTCTGTATATTGCTTTCTGCTGAGCAAGAGTAGAGCCATGTTGGAATAAATATAGAAAAGCTATTTCATGAAGGAAGTAAAAGTTTCAGTTTCCCAGGCCGGAGCAGGCAGCTGCAGGAATAAAAGAGATAAGGTAGCAAGGCCGGAGCAGGCAGCTGCAGGAATAAAAGAGATTCTAATCTTAAAGTAAAATGCCAGCTGTTATGCGAAGTTTGCGGTTTTGTCCTTTAAAAAGGTGCTTTAACCTGCTTGGGGCGCGCAGAGTCCTGGATGCCTCCAGAGACTCTGTTGCCCATTCGCGAATGTTCAATAAAATCCTCATGCTTATTGCAGCCTCTGCGTTTGACTTGTTTTGCCAATGACGGTGTGACTCCCCTCCACGGGGTTGGACTCTCCCTGAGTCTAACATTTTGGTGCATTGGCCGGGAATGGAGCGACCGTCTTCAGCAAACAACTCTCGCAGAGGGAGGTAAGACCGATCGGAAAGTGTGTTTTTTGTTTTTGTGTTGTTCTGTACTGTCCTTGTCCCCCCCCCAGTCTTTGAACGGTACCGGTTTGATCTTGTACGCCGGGGGACGCTCCGGTGCCTTGCAGACGGGGTGAAGATCATGTCACCCTCGTCTGGCCTTGTACGCCGGGGGACACTCCGGTGCCTTGGAGACGGGGTGAAGATCACTTCACCCTCGTCTGGCTTTGTACGGTCGACCTTCTTGTATTTTGTATCGGGCCCTTAGGAAATCTTGCATCGCGCGAATCCTGTTTGTGTCATTTGTTTTGTAATTATTGTGTGTGGTCTTTTGTCTTTAATTATGGAACAGACTGTGACGATTCCCCTTAGTTTGACTCTTGACCATTGGACTGAAGATAAGGACAGGACTCACGACCTCTCCCTCCCGGTTAAGAAAAGATCTTGACAGACTTTCTGCTCTGCAGAAGGGCCCCGTTTTCAACCTGGGCTGGCTGAAAGGAGGCTCTTATCATCCAAACAGTTTAAAGGATTGTTTTTCCAACAGGTCCAAAAGGCCACCCTGATCAGCAGCCTTATCCTGGTTTGAAATCTGTCTCAGAATCCCCCCATGGATCCGTCCCTGGTTTTCCCTTTGCCCGGCACAGGTACCAGCTGCGGCTGCCCAGAGGTCAGCAGATTGACCCAAGAAGACTTTGATAGGATCCTCCTCCTGTTTCATTCTCTCTGAGGGACTGGCTGTGGGAGTAGACAGGCCGGGAACCCCAGGCCTCCCTGTGCCCTCCTCGCCTCTGCCCTCCCAGCCAGCCCCATGCAAATCCCCACAGGCAGGCTCCGGGGGCTCCTGCTCCCAGCACGCCTAGAGTCTACAGATAACTTTTGTAACAAGCCAGATGATATTTAATGTGCTGTGTAAAAACTCTTGTTCATAGTATTTATAGTATTAATGACCTCTTGTAAGTTTCCTGGGGGCCACCCAGTAAAAGATTTAGTTTGTTCTGAGAGGGTCTACAACTGGTGATGCCGAAAGTGTCTTGCCTGCAGCCCTTGGGTCCTGGCTGCTGGTTCCTGTGTGTTTAGACCAAGCTTAGTCTGCATTGCTTTGCTATAAACCTGTCCTGCAGTGTGAAGAGTGGCTGGAGTTTAGGGCTGTAGAGACAAAACCATCGGGGCATCCCGACCAGTTACTGTATATCTTGGTATGGGAGGACCTCGTGGTTAATCCCCCGCCGTGGGCTCAACCTTTTCTCATCACACCCTGTCCTCCTCCTCCTTCTCCAGAATTGCCGGCGCCTTCAGCTCCGCCCCAACCCCAACCCTCTGCTCTTGTTTCCCTCTGTCCGCTGGAAGCTACTCGTCCTCGACCTAAGCCTGTCCTGCCTGATGATAGTCAGATGGACCTATTAATGACCTCTGAACTTCCTCCACCTTATCCCCAGGAGCATCAACCTGAAAGAGAACCCCCAAGAGGAAGACCGGGGGAGATGGGCTCTCCAGACACCACTGTAAATGAACAGCCTGAAGCCAGATCCCCAATCCATACCAGGTTGCGGCTACGCAGCGCTCAATTAAAGGAGGGAGAAAGAGGAGAAGGGCAATGGTCTTCACAATTGTACCCCTTGAGAATTGTAGGGGGGCAGGTCCAGTATTGGCCTTTCTCTGCCTCTGATTTGTATAATTGGAAAACTCATAACCCTCCTTTCTCCCAAGACCCCCAAGCATTAACAGGTCTCATCGAGTCCATCTTGTTGACGCACCAGCCGACTTGGGATGATTGTCAGCAGCTGTTACGGACTCTACTGACCACAGAAGAAGTCCAACGGGTGCTGATGGAGGCCAGAAAGAATGTCCTTCGGGCTGATGGGCAGCCCACCCAACTTCCAAACGAAATTGATGAAGTGTTCCCCCTTGTCCGACCTAATTGAGACTTCAACACTCCAAATGGTAGGGAGCGTCTCCGTCTTTATCGCCAGACTCTGTTGGCAGGTCTCAAGGGTGCCGGAAGGCGACCCACTAATTTGGCTAAGGTAAGAGCAGTTCTACAGGGAGCTGGGGAGACTCCCGCGGGATTCTTAAAAAGACTAATAGAAGCATACCGCATGTATACACCGTTTGATCCGGCAAGTGAAGATAGGCAGGGGGAAGTGATTATGGCTTTCATAGGACAGTCGGCACCAGACATTCGAAATAAGTTACAAAGACTAGAAGGATTGCAGAATTATAGCTTGCAGGACTTAGTAAAAGAGGCAGATAAAATTTTCAATAAGAGAGAGACTCCGGAAGAGAGAGAAGAGAGACTAAGAAAGATGCAGGAAAAAAGAGAGGATAAGAGAGATAAGCGACGGAATAAAGAACTGAGCCGTATCTTGGCCACTGTAGTTCATAACAAGCAAATAACATCCCAGGGAACTGAGATAGGGAGACAGTTTAAGGAACAGGGAGGTGAGCGGCGAAACCGTTTAGGGAAAGATCAATGTGCTTACTGTAAAGAAAACGGCCATTGGGCAAAGGATTGTCCCAACAATCCTAGAAACAAGAAAAGGCAGACCTCAGTTTTGACTTTAAAAGACTAGGCCAGTCGGGGCCAGGAGCCTCCCCCTGAGCCCAGGCTAACTCTGTCTGTGGGAGGCAAGCCCACCACGTTTCTAGTAGACACCAGGGCTCAACATTCAGTTTTGACAACTACTGATGGACCTATGAGCCAGAAGACCTCGTGGGTACAGGGAGCCACAGGAGGACGCGCGTACCGGTGGACGACTGATCGGCGGGTCGACTTAGCTACAGGTACTGTCACTCACTCCTTTTTACATGTGCCTGATTGTCCCTATCCCCTATTGGGACGAGATCTTCTGACAAAACTGGGAGCACAAATCAACTTTAAAGACCAAGAAATAACAGTGACTGGGCCTCAAGGGAAATCCCTGTGCATCTTAACCCTAAAATTAGAAAATGAATACAAACTACATGAGGCCATTAGAAAAACTGAAACTAACAAAGAGGGAACCCCACCTTACATGGAGAGATGGATGACTGAATTCCCAGATACATGGGCAGAGACGGGTGGCATGGGATTGTCAGTGCAACAGCCACCAGTACACGTACAACTAAAGGCTACTGCAGGGCCCGTGGCTATCAGACAATATCCCATGTCAAGGAAAGCCTTTGAGGGCATTCGCCCCCACATCCACAGACTGCTAAAACTGGGAATTCTCATTCCTTGCCGGTCACCGTGGAACACTCCTCTCCTACCAGTGCAGAAGCCGGGGACAAATGACTATAGGCCCGTCCAAGACCTAAGAGAAATAAATAGTCGTGTAGAAGACATACATCCCACTGTGCCAAATCCTTATAACCTTCTCAGCTCCTTGCCTCCCTCCCATGTGTGGTATAGTGTCCTGGATTTAAAGGATGCTTTCTTTTGTTTAAGACTGAGCCCGGCGAGCCAACCTTTATTTGCTTTTGAATGGAGAGATCCGGAACATGGAGTAAGTGGGCAACTGACTTGGACTCGATTGCCACAAGGCTTCAAAAATTCCCCCACCATCTTTGATGAGGCCCTACATCAGGACTTGGTGGCATTCAGATTAAATAACCCCAATCTGACTCTCCTCCAATATGTAGATGATCTCTTGCTGGCAGCACCTACCAGAGAGGCCTGCCTAGAAGGGACAAGGGCCCTGTTACGTGAATTGGGAGCCCTAGGATATCGGGCATCTGCCAAGAAAGCCCAGATATGCAGAGAGGAGGTAACCTACCTAGGATATGTCATAAAGGGAGGAAAAAGATGGTTAACTGAAGCCAGGAAAGCTACGGTGGCGTCTATACCAGTCCCAAGGAACTCCCGACAGGTACGTGAGTTTCTGGGAACGGCAGGATTCTGCCGGCTGTGGATACCTGGGTTTGCGGAGCTGGCCGCTCCCTTGTACATGTTAACGAAGGAAAAAAAACTCCTTCATCTGGGGAAAAGAACAACAACGGGCTTTTGAAAGACTGAGCATTATTCATTGTCCGGGCCACCAAAAAGGAACAGATCCAGTAGCTAGAGGAAATAGACTGGCAGACCAGACTGCAAAAACTGTTGCCACTGAGCCAATCTCAGCCCTACCCCTGGAAATAAACTCAAAAACGGGACCCGAAGAGACCAGGCAAAACACAGATGACATAGTCTGCAACTGGGGAGTTCCATTTAAATATACTGATAATGACAGAGCTCTCATTAAAGAACTCGAAGGGGAATGGGATGCTAAGTGCAAAGCATGGAGAAAAGGAGACAAGGTCATCCTGCCCTATCGCATAGCTACTGAAATCATTGAACACCTCCACCGCCTCACTCATTTGAGCCGGAGAAAAATGCACGCTCTACTTGCAAATGAGAAATGCCCGTTTATAACTCCTGACCTGCAGTTTCTTACTCAAATTACAGTGGACCAATGCAAGCCTTGTGCCCAGGTAAACGCAGGGCGACTAAAACTCCCCCAAGGAGCCCGTGCCCGAGGACACCGACCGGGAATACAATGGGAAATAGACTTTACTGAAGTAAAACCGGGACTGTATGGTTATAAATATCTCTTAGTTTTTGTAGACACCTTTTCAGGCTGGGTAGAAGCCTACCCCACGAAGAATGAAACGGCCACGACAGTCGTTAAAAAACTCCTTGAAGAAATTTTTCCCCGGTACGGATTGCGGCAAGTATTAGGGTCAGATAACGGTCCCGCTTTCGCCTCCCAGGTAAGTCAGGGGGTGGCCAAGAGTTTGGGGATTCATTGGAAACTACATTGTACTTATCGACCCCAGAGTTCAGGCCAGGTAGAAAGAATGAATAGAACTCTAAAAGAGACCTTGACTAAATTAGCCCTAGAGACTGGCGGAAAAGACTGGGTACGGCTCCTCCCTATGGCCCTTTTTCGAGTGCGCAACACTCCTGCATATCATGGGCTGACTCCCTTTGAAATATTATATGGGAGCCCACCACCGGCATCCTCTTTCTGTGATTTTGATCCTACCATGTTCCCCCATCCACCCTCGTTACAGGCGTATCTCCAGGCTCTCAGAGCAGTGAGAGAGTACATCTGGAAACCGCTTACAGAGGCCTACAAGGACAAAGACATTCCACCGTGCCCTCACCCGTTCAAGGAAGGAGACCAGGTGTATGTCCGGAGACACCAGACAAAAACCTTAGAACCACGGTGGAAAGGACCCTTTACTGTCCTACTGACTACTCCAACCGCCCTGAAAGTCGACGGAATTGCCGCCTGGGTACATGCCTCCCACGTGAAACACGCCAAGGATCAGCCAGCAACAGGGACTACAGGGACTGACCAGGAACCAGAATAGAAACTTCAACGAACCCCAAATCCTCTAAAGATAAGACTGACTCGTGCTTAAAAATGTACTTTTTGACTTTGCTATCTCTTCCATGTTCATTGTCAGATTATAACCCACATACCCCCCATAAAATTACCTGGAAAATCAGTAGTTTGGAAATAGGAACAGTCATAAATAGCACTCAAGTCATTGGACCGGTTGATGTTACCTTTCCCAAGTTATATTTTGATCTATGTGACCTAGTTGGAGGAGCATGGGAGACTCCCGGTCTCCCTTATTCAGGAACTAATAGTCGGAACGCGTATGGCTGTGAGAATGTACTGGGACGGTTACACACCAGAGCCAGACCCTTTTACGTTTGTCCGGGGAGTGACCGTAGCAAAGCCAAAATCAAGCAATATAGGGGGGCCGAAGAAGGATACTGTGCTAGTTGGGGTTGTGAAACTACCGGGACAGTGTATTGGCTCACTGAATCAACTGACCTCATCTCAGTCAAGAGAGAAAATATTCCAGGGTATTCAGGGACAGGGCCCTGGATTTGCGGCCAGGGTCACTGGAAACAAAACTGCGGACCATGCTTTGATAGTGTGACTAGAAGAACGGGGAGCACCCCAGGTGGCAGATGCAATCCTTTAGTTATTTCTTTCACCTCGGCCGGAGAAAAAGCTGACTGGACTAAGACGAGAGTATGGGGATTGCGGCTCTACAGAGAAGGGTGGGACGCATTTACTCTGTTCACTATCTCCCGCCAAATAGAGCCCTTAGCCACCCAGTCTATTGGCCCAAATCATGTCCTGCCTGCCTTCCGCGGGCCGTCAGGACAACAGCCTCAACATCCTATAAGGCCATTTTTCAACCACACAATAACTCCACAAACTAGCACGCCGGCCTCCCCCACTATAGTGCCGAAAAGCACGAGAGAAAGACTCATAAATCTAGTTAAAGGAGCCTTTCTAGCCCTTAACTCTTCAGATCCCGAAAGAGCCAGGGACTGCTGGCTATGCCTCAACCCCAGTCCACCTTATTATGAAGGAATAGCCACAATAGCAAACTTAACAAACTCCAGTAGCCCATCTCCAGTCTGCAGCACCATGGGGCACGAACTGACACTTACTGATGTCAGTGGGACAGGTCTATGTATAAGAAAAAATTCAATAAAATCTAGACTATGTAACCAGAGTTTAAATGTCCCCATAGGAAATTATTATCTGACACCACCTAATGGAATCTATTGGGCATGCAACACTGGTCTGACCCCTTGTATCTCGGCACAGGTTCTTAACGTCACCAAAGACTTCTGTGTGCTTGTTCAATTGTGGCCAAGAATAACGTACCTTCCGTCTGAGACTGTTCTAGCTGCCTATGAACATCCAGGGAGGGCCAAGCGAGAGCCTGTCTCTATTACTCTAGCCGTGTTACTAGGTACAGGAGGAATAGCCGCTGGCATAGCCACCGGAGCAACTGCTCTGTCGAGAACAGACTATTACCAAGGACTACACCAGGCTATGAATGAAGATCTACAGGCCTTAGAACAGTCAGTCAGAGGACTAAAAGAGTCTCTTACCTCTCTGTCTGAAGTAGTGTTGCAAAACAGGAGAGGACTAGATTTGCTATTGTTAAAAGAAGGAGGATTGTGTGCCGCCTTAAAGGAAGAGTGTTGTTTCTATGCTGACCAAACTGGAAGTGTGACTGAGACTTTAGATCGACTCAGAGACAGATTAAATAAAAGACAGAAAGAATTGTCAGCCCAAAAAGGATGGTTTAAAAACATATTCTCTCAATCACCCTGGCTAACCACTCTCATCTCTGCTATAACAGGACCTTTAATATTGTTATTACTCCTTTTAACTATGGGACCTTGCATTATTAATCGTTTATTACAGTTCATAAAAAAAGGATTGTCAATAATTCAAGCCTTTGTATTAACCAGCCAATATCAGCCTGTACAAGAAAATGCCTGCTAATGCTTATATTTTAAGATAAAAATATGTCCTAAAAAAAAGGGGGGGAATGTAAGAGCTTAGAATAACCGCTTGATTTTGCTTCTGTATATTGCTTTCTGCTGAGCAAGAGTAGAGACATGTTGGAATAAATATAGAAAAGCTATTTCATGAAGGAAGTAAAAGTTTCAGTTTCCCAGGCCGGAGCAGGCAGCTGCAGGAATAAAAGAGATAAGGTAGCAAGGCCGGAGCAGGCAGCTGCAGGAATAAAAGAGATTCTAATCTTAAAGTAAAATGCCAGCTGTTATGCGAAGTTTGCGGTTTTGTCCTTTAAAAAGGTGCTTTAACCTGCTTGGGGCGCGCAGAGTCCTGGATGCCTCCAGAGACTCTGTTGCCCATTCGCGAATGCTCAATAAAATCCTCATGCTTATTGCAGCCTCTGCGTTTGACTTGTTTTGCCAATGACGGTGTGACTCCCCTCCACGGGGTTGGACTCTCCCTGAGTCTAACAGGAGCATCCCAATTGGCTGTCCCTCTGTGACCTCACAGGGCTCTGTGTCCATACCAGCTGTCCACTCAGCAGCCACCTGGTCATAAACAGCCCAGAATGCTATGGCAGCAGCATTCTACAAAAGCCATGGCAATACACAGGCCCCTTTTGGCCTGGTGCAGAAAGCAGGCAGGTGGCTCAAGCTCTGCTTTCTCTGGTCTTCCCC